AGAAGCATTTGCCGAAAAAACCGTTGCCGGTAGCAACAAAAACTGCGGAGAACCATGCAAAAAACGAATCTTCGCAAGGGCAGCCCGTGCGTTGGCCAATTTTTTTTATAAACATGAAGATCATTTCAATCTCTTTAGATCTTACGGCTAGTAAAAAGTCCGATGAAAGTACGTTGTGATCATTTCTTCTAGACCTCAATATTTTCTTTAGGCAGGAACATACTCTGTGTTCGCGTGGTAACAGCTGCATCCGAATCTGTGCAATTTGAAATTAACGATAATTTAAATTATCCTAATTAAGATTGGTTCGGGAAAATGTCTGCTTGATGGGCAAAGCTTCCCCCATTCGTGAATTCACTGCAAGTACTTATGAATCTCACGTTTGCCAATAATCTTGAAAAACAGGAAAGTGTGGTTCGCAAATTTTTATGATATTTACAGAACAATAAAATGGGAGTGGACGAATTAGATGACGCCGATTTTGAGGTGCATGAATGCGATCTGTTCGAGCATGAAGCATTCGTGGTGGATTGCTTAGCACTGAACGAACAACAGGGTGTGTTGGCTGTTGCGCGACATGCTGATTCTCGGTAAGTGTTGGAAAGAGTAGCATTACTGCTGGCAAAGCGCAGTGACATAATAATAAATGAAGTAAAATGGAGGTTGGAAGGAAGTGTATGGCAAGGACGTGTCATGTGTAAGTCGTTGCTCTGCATTTTGAAATTCAGAGTGTGTGGATGGAATGATTCCCTCTTCTTTCTCCTCTTCGCATCTCGGCTGGGAAGCTGGGGCAGAATATTGCCCAAACCACTCCCCGTTTTTCTTTCCTTCTTTGTCGTTTTGCATGTTGGCAAGCAGGAGGACCCCTGCCGGAGCGGTGTAGCTTTGATCAAAGCAGACGGAAATTTTCCATTTAATTCATTTATTTCAAGTTAATAATAATAAAGTAAGTACTGGACTCAAGGAATTTGGAACCAATGATATCTGGAAAATAGGTTCGAAATTGGTGCTCACTGATCGGATGTTTTTTGTTCCATATATTCTAGCTGCTACTCGGCCTTTATAACTTCAATTTCTCGATTTTACTTTTTCCAGTTTGCTCCATGCAGGCGTTCAAGTGGATCCTTCCCCATCACTGGCGTCCTTGCAGCATTTGTTTGATATTTTTGTTTGGTTGTAGAAAAAATCCTGCTTTGAAAAGAAAATTTTAGCTTGAAACTGCTTGAAGTTTTTTCTTATTGCTATACGAATGGATGTGGTGCCCAATGATCAGGAAATCTCTTTCTTCTCTTACCGGAAAGGCAATATTTCTCATTTTTGAAGGTATGCAGCTCAGTATCGAGGACCCAGGTGCAGGAGTAACCAGATATTCTGGGACCTTCCAATAAAATCACTGGTATCAGATCCCACTGGGGTTATTGGGGTAGTCTTGA